CTTGTAAAAATTTTTTTTAAAAAACCAAAAACTTTTTGTGAAGCAAAAACAATGGACATGAATATGGCCACCCTTTGCAACAGCCTCCACTCTTCTAGGAAGGCTTTCCAGCAACAGAATCCACTCTTCGGGAAGGCTTTCCACAAGATTTTGGAGTAAATCTGTGGGAATTTGTGTCCACTTGTGAGGTAAGGTCCTGATGTTGGATAAGAAGAACTGGCTTACAACTGGTGTTTCAATTGATTCCAAAGCTGTTCAGTAAGGTTGAGGTCAGGGATCTGTGCAGGTCACTCAAGTTCCTCCACACCAAACTGGTCAAACCAAGTCTTTATAGAGTCACTGTGGAACAATTCATCCTCAAACTCTTAGCTCACTCCATTCCACCCCTCAGCAGTGATTCAGCAGCAGCTTCGCTCCCCCTTCTCACCCTTCCAGAAATTACTGAGCAGCTCAGCTTCCCTTGATCCCCACTCCAGTAGAGAATTTGTACCCTGTCAGTCTCCTAATATGTAAGGTCCCATTCACACTTAAGCATTCTGGAACACAAAGCTCCAAAACGTTCAACATCCAGAATCCTTTGGTTTTCAATTGTGCCTGTTCACACCTGAGTATGGTGTCACTTGAAGCTTGTAGCTCAAAAAGTACATGTGCTTATTTTGAGCTACAAGCTTCAAATATTTTTGGTCCCAATAGACTTCAATGGGAACACCAGAAAAAGGGCATTCGGGCATTCGGGCATTCTGATGTTCATTGACTACTTAGGAATTTGTAAATAATTGAATGACCAAAACCCAAGTCACGGTTCTACTTAAAGGACAATATCTTACTTTTTAAAACAAGAAATATTTTTGTAATATTTTTGTAATATTTAAGATTCCATTGTGTACCGTGATCACTGCAGCTGCCACAAACACAGATTCTCCATCCATCTGGACATCGTCCCCACATAATAACTTCTCCTTGAGCTCCTTGCATGTTTTGGCATTGGCTGAGCGCCTGAAAATACCTCTTGTGTTCGGCCCTTCTTCATATAACAGCAGGAGCATGTCCTAGAATTGGTCGGCGACATGATATGAGTAACAAAATGACACTATACTAGAATTATCAAATCTTTTATTTTCTTCTGATAAGAGAAATCTACAAGTCTCAGTTGTCACGATCCTATGCATCATTATAAGCAGTAGTTCAGGTACTACTTACTATTGTTTTAAACTGGACATCTTGCATTCGGGAATAGGCAACCAATTTTCTGCAACCAGATATTGTCTTGATGACATTTCTACAAAATTTGCCTCTAATTTCAATGCACTGCTAGTGGAAATTACCTGAAAGTTCCCCTTTTAAATTAGACACGTCCAGTGCCATAGCCATGTGACTGTTAGTTTTTGGGCAGGATGGTTAGAAGGAGTTTCCAAATTAGAAGAAACTTCTCAATTTCATGGCACTGCTAGTCGAAATTACCTGAACTTTTCCCTTTTAAACTAGACATGCCCAGTGCTATGACTTTGTTTATTAATAATGGGTTAGGGTTATCAGTAGGATGATTGATAACGTTAGGGTTATTAATGGGGTTACTGCGAGGTTTAGAGTTTTTGGGCAGAGGAGCAGGTCCAGAATAGTTGGAAGGAGCTTCCAAGTTGGAAAGAGCTTCCTTATTTCTGGACACTGCTAGATCCAGGATTGTTGGAATGCCATGGCTATGTGAGTGTCAGAGTTTGTGGGCAGAAAAGCATGTATAGAATGGTTAGAAGGAACTTCCAAATTGGAAGGAACTTCCCAATTTCATGGCACTGCTAGTTGAAATTATCTGAAAAATCCCCTTTTTAACTAGACATGCCCAGTGCTATGGCTTTATTAACAATGGGTTAGGGTTATCAGTAGGATAAGTGATAACTTTAGGGTTACAGTGAGGGTTAGAGTTTTGGGGCAGAAGAGCAGGTCCAGGATAGTTAGATGGAGCTTTCCAGTTTCTTGACACTGCTAGATCCAGGATTGTTGAAAGAAGCTTCCAAGTTGGAACTTCCCAATATCATGAGACTGCTAGCTTAAATTACTTGAAAGCTCCCCTTTTAAACTAGACATGCCCAGGCTTTGTTTATCAACAAAGGGTTACGATTATCAGTAGGATAAGTAGTAACATTAGGGTTACTGTGAAGGTTTAGAGTTTTTCGGTAGAAGAGAAAACCCAGGATTGTTGGAAGGAGCGTCAGTAGTCTTCAATACCCATTTAATGCCAATTTTGCCCTTAAAGGTCACCTTACGTTTGCCTTTCTTATTGAAGCATGTGCATGAATTCCCCATAGAAAGTGAATCACTGTGCTTTTAACCATCTGGAATGTATGAACAGTATATTGTTTGGTTTTAATTTGGATTAAGTGAGGCAGCACACCATTTGGGTAACACGAATTCCTAGAAATTTCTTGATGAGGCCTACACAAAAATTTGTCACCCTTATGTGAAGAGATAGGAATAATTTTTACATGTATACTGTAATTAACTGTTATCTAACTCCACCACCTGCTTCAATTTCATCATATTAGTCACAAGTCTTCTAAATATGGAATGTTTTCAAGTGGTTACAGCTAACAGAGCGTTTTAGCTTACCATTATGGGCTTGGGTAGATTTCCATTGGGACACACTGATGACAGGGAATGACCAAAGAGCTTGCGTGGTGTAAGAGGTGATTGGGAAGAAGCTGTGCTCAGTGTGGTGCTGCCACTACGACGTAAAGCCCAGTCTATCAGTGACTTTTTCCTCCTGCATTGTTTTTGTGCAGACTCTGGAAAAAAAATCCATTTTAAAATTGTTTTCTGCCATCTCTGCCACTATGCATTATGTTCTCTGACAGCCCTCCCATCCTCCCCATTGTCCAGAATACATTCTTTTGCATCCCTCCCTCTACACTAAGTACTCTGGTAGCACTCAACACTTTCTTTGGAAGTTCCTCTTTCTGTTCATGCTATGTTCTTTGGCTCCTTGCCCTCTTTTACCCTCGATGTACATTCTCTAGCAGCCACCAACTCCACCCTTCACACTACGTTCTCTGGTAACCACCTACGCCATACTACTTTCTCTGGCAGCTACCTTTTCCACACTACGTTCTCTAGTAACCACCTACTCCATACTACATTCTCTAGTAGCCAAGTCCTCCACCCTTCACACTTCGTGCTCTGGTAATCATCTACTCCATACTACATTCTCTGGCAGAAAACATTTTCTACACTACGTTCTCTGGTAGCCACCTTCTGCATCCAACACAGTACATTTACAGGCAGCCACATCCTCCACACTACATTCTCTGGTAGCTACCTTATCCAACCTCCACACTGCATTGTATGGTAACCCCCTCCTCCATCCCTCTTCACTACATTCTCTGGCATCCACCTCCTGCACACTACCTTCTCTGGTAGCCACCTTCTCCAACCTCCACACTACATTTTCTGGTAGCCATCTTGTCCGCACTACATTCACTGGCACCCATCTCCTCCACACTACATTCTACAGTAGCTACCTCCTCCAACCTCCACACTACATTCTCTGGTAGCCACCTCCTCCACACTACCTTCTCTGGTAGCCACCTCCTCCAAACCTCCACAGTGCATTTTCTGGTAAACATTTACTCCATACTACATGCTCTGGCAGCCACCTTTTCCACAGTATGTTCTCTGGTAGATACCTTCTGCATCCTCCACACTACATTCTGGTAGCCACCTCCTCCAAACCTCCACAGTGCATTTTCTGGTAAACATTTACTCCATACTACATGCTCTGGCAGCCACCTTTTCCACAGTATGTTCTCTGGTAGATACCTTCTGCATCCTCCACACTACATTCTGGTAGCCACCTCCTCCAAACCTCCACAGTGCATTTTCTGGTAAACATTTACTCCATACTACATGCTCTGGCAGCCACCTTTTCCACAGTATGTTCTCTGGTAGATACCTTCTGCATCCTCCACACTACATTCTCTGGCATCCACCTTGTCCACAGTACATTCTCTGGCAGCTACCTCCTCCACACTATGTTCTCTGGTAGCTACCTCCTCCAGCCTCCACACTGCGTTCTCTGGTAACCACCCCCTATATCCTCTCCACTACATTCTCTGTCATCCACCTCTTCCACACTTCCTTCTCTGATAGCCACCCCCTCCAACCTCTATTGTGCATTCTCTGGTAGTCACCACTTTGTCTACACTTCATTCTCTGGTAGTCACCTCCTCCACCCTCCACACTATGTTCTCTGGTAGCACTCCTCCCAAAACACACACACCATCTTCTTTGTCAGCTATTCCTACTGTCCACTCACATTGTCTAGCAGCTCACTTTCCTCCTCAACCCCTCTATTTTTTATTGGCAGCTCCTCTGCCCCTTCATATTGTGTATTCTAGCAGCTGTTGCTCTGCCTTTATATAGGTCCCAAATTGTTCCATGATCGCTTGTCACTTCTCTCTCCTGCACCCCTTTACCATAATTAGATTCCACTATGCTTCCCTTTTGACCCCCCCCAGTCCATAAGTTGCCATTCTATCTTCTTTATCTTGCCCCCACCAAGTCTAAGTTCAGCCGCTGATTAACCTTCTTTGTTCCCTCATGGTCCATAATCAGTTCCTTCTCAGTTTCTAGTGAGATGGCACAATTGTCCAGCTATACTACTATCTGATTGGCCATTCATGCACATCAATATGTTATGAATCACTTAAAAACCAAAAACCAATCAGTTAAAATGATTCCATCTACAAACAGGCTCACATGAAGGGTGACAAGTGAAAGTTGGGAGATAGCAACACAACATTGTCACCCTACAACAGAAAGTGGCTGAACAAGGTCCTTCATGGCAGGATCCATGGGAATTATTGAAGATTAGAGATGTGGATTTGAAATGATGGAAAATATATTTTTAAATGACATGGACATGTTAAATCTTAAATGAGATTTTAATGACTGGTGTAACAAGTACTTTAAACATATTACTGCAGTTCCAGTTGATACCTACCCCTCCTCACATCCATGAGGCCCTGGGGCCGAAGCTTAATGATGAACTGGCACTGTCTTTCATGGGGGGACTGTTCAAGAATATCGTCTGCACTGTGCTCTAAAGGAAGGTTATTGTTGAGTCCTCTGGCCATAACCACAGATTCCTGGAGACAGCTCATTGCAATACTGTAAGGGTACTCATGACCTGGAAAAACAGTAGGTACAGTAAGTACAGCAGCAACCATGGAGAAGGTGCATGACATATGACAGCCATAGGTGAACTCGAAGCTTAAAACATTTTTCATCGAAGCTGAATTACAGGAAAACATCTAAATACATATATGGGAAGTCAGAAGCGGGATCTGTCAAAATATTTGTATTTCTAACAACTCATCTAGTCCTGAGATGCAAACAATAAGCCAGGTACATGGCACCACTTACAGTTAAGTAATACAGTAGTGATCAGCTATGCCCATGTAAAAAGGGTCTTTCTTAACTGTTTGGAGTTCATCTTTCGCTATACCTTTTATTTTTATTATTATTATATTGTACATTGTATTATAAATAATATGTTTCCATCCCTTTTGCCCTTATGTACTTAATATGATGCATATTTTCAACATATTGCAGTATAAGCAAATTGAAAACAAATGAAGAATATACATTTTAAAATCCAGAGTAGATTGCTGGAAGGAAATATCACTTTATAACTGATGCTACACGTAGAAGACAGAACATGTGGTGACCATACACCCTTATTGGGTATTCAGTGCAGATCTTACCGCAAAGAGGATATGGAGGTTCATCCTTTCCAGATGTCACCCACAGATGGTAGTCACTGTGTCTGCCCTGCACAAAAACAATTCTCAAACATTTTGCACTATGAGCAGGCATATTCATTTACCAATTAATGTTATACTATATGGCCAAATGTAGATGGACTCCCTCCAATTGCTTGGATTGAGGTGTTTCCAGTAAAGGGTACAGTCAATGCTACAGCATACAAAGACATTTTAGAAATGCGTGCTCTTCCAACCTTGTGGTAACAGTTTGGGAAAGGTTCTTTTCTATTTCGGTATGACTGTTCCCCTGAGCACAAAGACAGCTCCATAAAGACTCCCACCCCACCTAGCAGTCCTCACACTAAAACCCCCTCAACACTCCACTCCTTCGTCCTCGCCACCACTGAAGAGGTCACTAAGGTCTTCTCAGAAGCCCGCCTCACCACCTGCCCCCTTGACCCTGTCCCCTCAAAACTCCTACGATTACCCTCTTCCGCCATCCTACGCTCCCTCACTCACATCTATAATCTTTCCCTCTCTTCTGGCACATTCCCCTCCCCCCTGAAGCACGCGCACATCACTCCTATACTTAAAAAAACATCCCTAGATCCCACCGACCTGAACAACCTTAGACCCATCTCCCTGCTGCCATTTACATCCAAACTCCTTGAGTGCTTGGTCTATAATCGCCTGAGTTCCCACCTCACTGACAACAACCTCCTTGATCCCCTAAAGTCTGGCTTTCACCACCTACACTCCACCGAAACTGCCCTACTCAAACTCACCAACGGCCTGCTAACCGCCTCAACCTCTCTGCGGCTTTTGACATGGTTGACCACCCCCTCCTCAAAAAAAACTGCACTCTCTTGGCCTCAGAGACTCCGCCCTCTCCTGGCTCTCTTCCTATCTATCACAGCGCTCCTTCAGCATTACCTATAACTATACCACCTGCTCTTCACTCCCCCTCTCTGTCAGGGTCCCTCAAGGCTCTGTCCTCGGGCCCCTTCTCTTCTCCATCTACACCTCCTCCCTTGGCCAATTGATACACTCTCATGACTTCAACTATTCATCCCATATCAGTACTTGATTTCAACCCAGCTGAATACCTGTGGGATACCAATTGTAAGTTAGGTCTTCTCATTCAACATCAGTATCTGATCTCTTTTGGCTGAAGGAGGTCAAATGTCAACAGACGCCTCCAAAATCTTGCATAAAGCCTTCTCCAAAGATTGAAGGCTATTTTAGCAAAGTTGGACAAACTCTATATTAATGTCCATGGTTTTGGCCCTCAAACGTTTGGCCATATAGTGCATTACTCTGTCATTAGCCACATCATTACAGTAAGTAAATTTGGCTATTGCAATATAAAACATACAAACCAGAGACGATCTGCAAAATATACACCCTTCAACTCCCTGTCTGCTCTGCTTTTCAGTGTACACCCCCCATGTTTGTGAGGTCCATTGGAGAAGGGAACTTCGTGCTTCCTGTCAGCAGTACTGGAGAACAAATCTCTATGCTCTTCTCCCCGGTATTGGGTAGATACTTAGTTTGTATCTTATCACTTCTTGGCCTTATGGCTAAGATCAAGTGCAGAGCTTGTATCTTGCAAACCTAATGTAGTACTTAATAGTAAGGGTGCTGATGCTGAACACACCTTGGGGGCCAACCCACCACCCCTACTAAACATGTACATTTATAAATTGAAAAGTATGTGCTTGTGTGGATTTTTTTTTTTTTAATTTAAGTCTCCCCCTATTGCACTACACCTCCTCCCACCTCTCTACTTTGCAATGCAACATTCACCTCCTTTGTGTCAGCTTTGCTCCCTTTATGTCATCATGAGCTCCCTCTGGAATACACAGACTCTGGGGTGATTGCATGCTGAGATGGCTGTGGGTCACCCTCATTTATAGGTATGTAGCCAGCAAACCTGGATCTAGCCAAAAGTCCAATTTTATTCAACCACATGAAAAAAAAAATCACATTGTAATGCGCTATTTTGTAACCTCAAAGGGTCCAGTCAATCAGGCATGACATCTGATAAAGGGGTCATATATGGAGGTTATATATTTTAGTACATTTAGCTGTGAAGGTACGGTCAATATGTTAGGTTCACTTACGGGAAGTTCAAGCTGTTGAGACACCACTTTAATCACTTTTTCCGTAGTGTCCATGTTAGACACAGCAACTGAGGTACTCTGCAAAGACAAAGGACAGCAACATATTGAAAAAACGTAATTGAGGCTCCACATAAAACCCTCATATTTGCATCATTACTGATTCTTTTTTGCTAAAAGAGTCTCTTACTAGCCAACTACCCCAACTTATTTATACTCATCTTTGGGACATTTTGATCACCAGGCACCCAAGTTGAAGTAACCATTAATTCCCCCAGGAATATACCTGCAATATATATATATATATATATATATATATATATATATAATTTTTTTTTCTTTACTATTACGTTTACATTTTTTACATATAACATTTTGTGACATTTTCATCACACTGTATATGCAAAATGTATATTGTGTGTATATATACACAAATATATACCTGTATTTTACTACTACATTTATTTGTTTTAATGTGACACTTTCATCACCATACTGTATATTAAAAAAATGTATACTGTGTGTATATATACACAAATATATAATAATAAAAAAACATATATTTTTTTTACTACTGCATTACATTTTTTTTTATTGTGACACTCAACACCATGCTGTATATTAAATGTATACTGTATATATACACAAATATAAGATATATATTGCAGTGGGGTGCCTGTGAAAACGGTTAGAGTGGCAGGAAAAGTGACTGATGTAATATACAGTATGTTCCTGCATGGATTCTTGCATTTGCAGTCTAAGGAAAGGCCAGCAAATATTTAATGGTAAAGAAAGATACCGTAGTTCTTTACCCTGTGTTAGTAAAGCCCATTCCGAGGCTGGTTTTACTGGGAGTCTGATAGACCTCTGGGAGGGACAGACAGACTCCCAATTCAGTGGACCACATTTCGATATTTTCTGCCTAGCTCTTAATTAAGGCAGCTGGTCCTTGCTCTCAGAGAGAGAGAGTGTGTGTGTGTGTCTCTGTGTGAGAAGGTGACTAGGAGCTTGGCTGCAATTGTTTGCTTTATAAAGGACACTTACCTGCAGCCAAGGGCTTTGTCAGACCACGGATACGGTAAGGCTCAGCTGAGCAGAAGTTTATTTTCTTATGAGTTATGACCAGAGGCCACTACCTTCTGTTTGTGACTATCCTTTGGATTAAACCTGACACTTCTATTAATAAAATGTGTAAGTTGGTTCCTGCCTTGAGCTTGATCCCCTAAAATATATCGTGTGTGTGTGTATATGTGTATATATAAATGTGTATGTATGTATATGTGTGTGTTTAATTTTTATGACTTTTATAAAACTGAAATGTGACACTTTGATCACCATCCCCTCAAAAAATTGTAGATACATATTATAATATAAAGTATAAAAGTGTTGGTTTACAACTGATTCTGAAGAACTGAATTACACTAAATTTTGCCAAACCATGGTATGTATCCAGTTGCCACCTGTTTATGTACAGTAGATAATATTTTGTCTAGTCTCCCTTGAAATATTATTGGTAGTTTATTCTTGGGAATATGTGTCTTCTTCATAATGCTATTTTTATTTCTGTTTAAATCTCAAAATTATTTTCACGAGTCTCCACCTTTGTGTCCCTCGGTCATAAATAGCCATAATACGCCATAAATTAGAAAACAACTGGATACTTTAGTGGGAACTGGAACAGTCCCAACAAACTGGAAATAAGATCATGTAGCCACATTAAAAAAAAAAAAAAAAATAGAAAAGGGACAGATGGGTAATACTCACAGACGTGTATTCATCTGCATCCAGATATAAAACACTAATTGCAATTTTTCCAGGGAACTCATCTTTCTTTACTTCTTTAATATGCCTGAAAAAAAGAGAATTCCAAGTTTGTTTGATGGCACGTCAGATCTTTGCAGACAGACCGCTGCTTCCAGACGAAAACCAAGGGTTCTTCCACCTTGGCAAGAATTAAGTAAGCTTGCCCAACAAAATTTGGCAAAATTTTAGGCATTGAATTTTTTAGACACCTATCAATCAAACCACAAGCTTGTTGGTTATCAAACTTTAAAACCATGGCCATTAATATAGAGTTGGCCTCCTCTGCAGTTATAATATCTCCCACTCTTGTAGCAAAATTTTCAACAAGATTTTGTGAGGTGGCTGTGGAAATTTGTGGGGATTTGTTCCTTTTGGTCAGGTACTGATGTTGGATGAGAAGACCTGATCTCAAAGAGGTTAAGTAGGGTTGATGTTAGGTACTAATGTTGGATAAAAAGACCTGGCCTGTAATTGGCTTTCCAGTTCATCCCATAAGTGTTTAGTAGGATTGAATTCAGGGCTTTGTGAAGACCGCTCCAGTTCTTCCACATTGAACTCGTCAAACCATGTATTTATGCAGCTGGCTTTGTACACAGGGTAAAGTCCTTCAACAAACTGTTAGCGCAAAGGTGGAAGAGCACAATATTCTAAAATGTCTTTGCATGCTGTAGCATTAACAGTACCCTTCACTGGATACACCTAAACTCCATCATTTGGAGGGCGGGGGGGGGGGGGGGGGCCCACATACTTTTCACTATGTAATGTAGATTTGATGGTTAGGTGTCCATAAACATTTTCTGGCCATACAGTATGTTTTGCAGCATGTGAAAGAGAGCTAACTGTGAACCCTTGGCAACACTATACTTAACACTGCAACCAAAGTGCTAGAATGATTATACAAAATATACGCCAACATGTCAGGATTAGAAGACTGATTAGAGAAAAAGACTAAATGGTCCATCAAATATTTTATTTTTTAAAGATTTTTGTCTAAATATAGACTTATGTTTATCTCAAGCATGTTTAAATTCACTTACTATAGATCAGTCTTTCTCAACCTTTTCAACTTTCCGGTCTCAGCAAATTCCGGGTAAAAATTAATATACAGTATCTGCAACTCATTGATACATTCCCGTGACAGTGGGAAAAATGCTTCTTACATTTGTGGCTATTGGGAAGAATCACCACATTACAGATAGCTGAAAAGATCAATGGTGTCAGTGGGAACTTATCTGAGAGACAAAAATTGCTCATTGGTCAAGGAACTCCTAGCAACCTCTGGAGGAACCCTAGGGCTCCATGAAACTCTGGTTGAGAAACCCTGGTATAGATTGGCCCTCTACCCCTGCTGGTAGTATGTTCTAAGCATGCAATACTTATGGTAAATGAATGTCTAAGGTTTTAACATATTTATAAAGCTCTGACAATTTACATATTCAACATTCACATCAGCATCTGCCCTTAAGGAGCTTACTATCTAAATTTCCTATTTCATATGCATACACCTACTAGAGCAAAATAATCTAACAGCATTTCCAAAGAGTGTGGAAAGAAATCCACACAAGCACAGGGAGAAAATACAGACTCCATGCAGACTGTGTGCTGGTTGGGATTTAAATTGAAGAACATAGCATTGCAAGGTAGAATTACCAACCACTAAACCACCATGCTACCTGTTACAATGTTCCCAGTAATCCTTGTTGACTGTGGGACTATGATGCTTATGTTCCTCCAGCTCTTCTGATAGGTTTTATCAGACGACGTACCATTCAGACATTGTACCATTTTTGCTGCCTATCTGTGGACTTGTTCTATACTATCAATGTCTTCTTGAAAGTGATGTCTTCAGAACTGGACACATTATTGTAAATGGAACCTAACTAAATCTCTGTATCAGCCTTTCTCAAACCTTTCAACACAGAAAACCCCTGAAATAACTTTCCAATCTCAGGAAACCCCTGCTAAAAATTACTACATCTCATGATACATTAGTGTGATGGTCGATGGGAAGAGTGTTCCTTACACTTGTGGTCATTGAGAGAAATTAGCCCCTTACAGATGGCCAAAAAAATCAATGGTGTCAGTTAGAACTTATCTGAGAGACAGAAGTTGCTGAAGGAACCCCTAGCAACCTCTGGAGCAGGGGTGTCCAAACTATGGCCCTCCCAGCTGTTGAAGTACTACAAGTCCTCTGCCTCTGGGTGTCTTGCCTGTGGATGTCAGAGTCTTGCAAGACCTCATGGGACTTGCAGTTCCAACACCTGGAGGGCCATAATTTGTACACCCCTGCTCTGGAGGAACCCTAACTGAGAAACTCTGCTCTATATAGTGGGATCAGATATCTAGTGATAACTAAAGAACTATATAGAGGAATTGGGACTTTCTTCTTCCTGCTAGTGATCCCTCTAGTGATATAAAGATCTATATAGAGGAATCAGTACCTTCTCCCTCCTGCTGTTGACCCCTCTAGTGATAACTAAAGATGTATATAGTGGAAACAAGACCTTCTTCCTGCTGGTGATCCCTCTGGTGATAGCTAAAGATCTGTATAGAGAAATCAGGACCTCATTCCTCCTGCTGGTGATCCCTCTATTGATAACAAAAGATCTATATAGAGGTACCAGGACTTCATTCTTCCTGTTGGTGATCCTTCTAGTGAAACCCCCAACAATTCAGTTTCCTTACCTCACTGCCAGGCTACACTGTTTACTCAGAGTTGCGGTTTTTACTGTTTTCATCAATTTCCAGCAATCCTAAATCAAGTTCAATATTACAAACAAATACAGAAACTTCAACGCAGTTGCACATCTTTTGCATTGTCAGCATAAATGCATACATTACCCACCAAACCAAGTTTGCATTTGCCAACTGTTATGAATGACTGTTAAGCTACAAATGTGGACACAATAGGGTTAAGAGAATTTCTTTAAAAAAAATAGATCTTACCAGCTTAATGTGGAGAGCCACTTCTCCTTTGTGTCTGAAGAACTAGAACAGAAAAAAACAATGCAGACAGAAATGAAGTGACTACCACACATCCCAGTTCCTTCCTCCTACCCCCCAACCTAAGCACACGGCCCTTCCTGCTTCTATTTTAACATTAGAAACAATGTCCAGCCTGGATTTCCTTCTCCTGATGTCAAGATCTTGTAACCTGCCAAGTCTTCGATTTGTTTACATCTTTATTGACCTGAACACTCTGTTTTCATTAATTAGGTCCCACCAGCATACATATTGTGGCAGTACCTACACAT